CTCATGACCTCCAGATTTCTTTCTTTCTTTCTTTCTTTTTTGAGATTTTATTTATTTATTTGTCAGAGAGAGAGAGCACAAGCAGGGGGAGTGGCAGGCAGAGGGAGAAGCAGGCTCCCTGAGGAGCAGGGAGCCCAATGTGGGACTTGATTCTAGTACCCTGGGATCATGACCAGAGCCAAAGGCCGGCACTTAACTGATTGAGCCACCCAGGCATCCCCCTCCAGATTTCTTAATACATGAGAAACAAATAAGCTTTCTTTTTTGTTTCTTGCTATTTCAGTTTATTTTAGTTTTTTTTTTCCTGTTATTTGTAGCTGAATCAGATCTGAATTTATTATTCCTGGACTGGGCCACCTCAATTGTTAATGCTGATGTAGACCTGATTGGGTGATATAATCCCAACTCGGGCATGTCATGTACAAGCCAGGGACAAATGGATGCCACAGTCTTGAGATGCAGTCCCCAAATGCACAGCAGACCACTACCACCAGCCGGCCTAGCACTCACGTAAGTGTTAAGCCCAAATAACACCAACCAATCAACAAGAATCTGAGACTTCACTTTTTTAATAGATATAGATAGAAATAGTTCATGGTCTTTTGGTTGTAAAAGATGTACTCCATTCCTCTTTTTTCAAACTTCATCTCTGGACTGGGTGGGTACTCTGCTTGCCAGAAAAACTTTTACACTCCATACTCAATCTTTGCTCTTTAATAGTCTGTTTTTTTTCTTTAATACGATTCATTTTTAAAAACATTAAACTCTTTGGGTATCTGCCTGGCCCAATCAGTACAGCATGTGACTCTTGATCTCAGGGTTGTGAGTTCAAGCTCCAGGTTGGATGTAGAGATTAAAATAAAATCTTTGAAACAAACAAACAAAAAACAATTGAGCTATTTTAAAAGCGTGCTAATGACATGGTCTGTGGGAAAGCTATCTTTAGATCTCTGGTGAAATTGCTATGGAAAATATATTTCTAGTATTCCTAACATATGAACAAAAAAGACAATTAATCTTGACAATAGTATGTCAGTGGTAGTTATATTCACATGGGCCCACAAATAACTTACCAAAGTCTTTACATTTTCTCAAAGGGTCAAACATTCTAAAGATTATATGGATAATAACAGGTGACATTAAGTACTATAATTTCATCCTCCTCATAACCCTATTCAGTAGGTTCTGTTATTAATACTGAGAAAACTGAAGCACAGTCTAAGGTCACTAAGTAGTAAATGATGGAACTGAGGTTCAAATCCTCAGAGCTTCTGCTCTGGGCTTTTGTGTGTGGGAGTGGGTGAGGGGACAAGTATAACTTTTCAATTTTTTGAAGTGCTTTTATATTTATTTGTGTGGAATATAGACTGTAATCTGGATAATTGGAAGAATGCCTCTTGCCTCAGTTATTCAGACTTTTGAAGTTGACACAGTTCCTCTTCAAATTAATGTTAATTTTCTTTCTTTTTTAAAAGATTTTATTTTTAAGTAATCTCTACTCCCAACATGGGGCTCAAATTTATAACCCCGGAGATCAAGAGTTGCATGCTCCACCCACTGAGCCAGCCAGGCACCCCAGTGGTCATTTTCTTAATTGCTTAATATTAACATATATTATCTTACATGTATAGATATAAATAAATGCGTTTTATACATATTTTTACATAAATAAATGTATGGAAATAAAATCATAAAGTTAAAGAAAATGTGGTACATGTACATATTTGCATACATAACTTTAGATAATATAGCTTGCAATTTATTTTATCTTATTCTTCTCACACATTTGATTTACTCTTTTATAATTTTATTATTTATTTTTAAAAAAATTTTGTCAGAGAGATAGAGAGAGCTCAAGCAGGGAGAGTAGCAGGCAGAGGGAGAAGCAGACTTCCCGCTGAGTGGGGAGCCAGACTCAGACTCAATCCCAGGGCCCTGGGATCATGACCTGAGCTGAAGGCAGATGCTTAACCAACTGAGCCACCCAGGTGACCCTCTTTTATAATTTTAATAAAATACTTCAAGCTATAGAAAAGTAGAGAGAATGTTGCAACACTACTCATCTTCGTGGTTTGTCCAATCTTGATGCTGTATTTGCTACAGATAACTTTTTTTGTTTTTTGAATATATTTATATGTTCAAAAAAGGTATAGGGGGGACTGGCTAGCTCCCTTGGTAGAGCGAGTGACTCTTGATTTCAGGGTCATGGTCATGAGTTCAGACCCCACTTTGGGGTAAAGCTTACTTTAAAAAAAAGATACAGAGTTAAGTCCCCAACCTACCTCATCCCATATGCCCAGTTCCCATCCCATTAGTTACATATTTATTTTCCTCACTTGTGTGAATGGGTGGGCAAGTAAGTAAATACGAATATATTTGGACTCACTTTTTTTAAGTAAACTCTACCAAGTGGGGCTTGAACTTACTACCATGAGATCAAGAGTCGCATGCTCTATGGACTGAACCAGTCAGGCTCCCCTTAACTCACTTAAAAAAAAAAATTACAGGTAACATATTTTTTACATTTTTGTGTCTACACTCCTAACACTAACGCTTTACCACCTCTTTCCTCAGCTCGTTATTCAGTAAACAGTAAAACTCAATGTTCAAGGAATTGTTATTAACTCTGAAGAATCGGTAGTTTCTTATCACATTCTTTCGCCTCTATTCTTTCTGCTCCATCCACAAGCCAGTTTTCTAGAAAACAGACGTTTCCCCAAAGTCTAAAGTGCCCAGAGCGAAACAAATACGAGCGTTAAGCGAATAAATTTCACCTCCTCTAAGGAATTCCGGAGGGCGGAGGCAGCGGGACCCCGGAAAGTTGGGGACGGACGCGGGTGGGCGGCACCCGTGGGGAGGCGGGTCCCGCGGACTCCACCCAAGCCCTGCGCAGATTTGGCGCCAAACTCCGAGGCCTCTTCTCGCGGAGGATCTCCCGAGTCTCGCGATCAACGCTGTTTGGAAGCCGCGCTTAGCCCCGCGCTGTGGCTGCCGCAGTGCGCCCGAGGTGAGGAGTGGGTACGCGGGCGAGTGGAGGGCTGCGGGACGCGGCGGTCGAGCGAGGGGGACGGAGGAGCAGGGTGCTGGGGAGTCGCGGGGAGGGAGTGTGGAGGTTGGAGGAAAAGACTGAGACGGACCTGGGCAGAGCGGGACTGGAGAGGCCGCGACCGGTGGGGAAGAGGGCGGGCACTTTTACCTGTCGTTTTTCTTTGGGGTTCCCCTCTCGCCAAACTCAGCCTTTTAGCGGGAGCGAACGGGCATCAGTCCACCTTTACGTCGCCGGCTGCTTTCTGTCCGGGGGCTTCTAAGCATAGAAAGCGTCTTGTGAATGTGGGATGAATGGATGAATGAAGTTGAAGGGAGACTAGGGCGGGTGCGGGGATGGGAAGGGTGGAGAGGGGGGATGGGGCGGGAGAGTGGTTTTAGGGTGGCTAGCAAAGGAGGACACGGAGTCAGTCTGGTGGGACTTCCCTTTCGACACGGGCTACTGTTTTGTTAATTTGGATGAAGTTGGACATTGGACCCCTAAGGGTCTGGGAACGCATTGGAGTTTGGATATTAAATTTCTTTCTTACCTTCACTCCTGTGAGAGTTTGAGGACTGGGGGCGGGGGCGGGGAAGCTAAGAGAATTTCATCGATGTCTGAAAACAGTGTGCAACCACCGTCAAGAAGTGAAAGATAAGAGAGCTACCGTATTCACAGCCAGTTTACTGACAGACCCCACCCCACGCTTGGCCAGTTCCTTACATTGCATCTTGCTACACTGAATATAGTTTGTGCCCTGCCATCAAATTCACAGCTCCCTGTTCTCAAAAGTGTGAACTCCATTTCTTCCCAATGAAACTTGACTAGAATTAAACTTAACTTGAATATCCGTATTGTAGATAGGAAGCTAGTTTAGATTATATGACTTCTAACTGCCTTTTCAATTTTGAAAATCTGTGGTTATTGAACCTTACTTGAAGATAAGGTGGGTCATCATCGAGTTGATAACGTTGTTATGTATCTGTGGTCATGGAAATTTAGAATCGGAGAGCCTTTAGGGATCATTTAGCTCTAGTAGTAGTACAGTTTGAAGGAAGCTTTGGAATCTTTATTCCGTCATTCAGCAAGTATTTATGGAGCATCTGCTGTATACCAGCTTTGGGGATACAGTGGTGGAGCACAAAGAGACTCACCTGGTCTTTGCCTTTTTTAGAGCTGCAGTCTAGTATGGAAGACAAACATTAGATAATCACAGAAATGGAATATGATATTGAAACTGGGTAAATGCTATGAAATTGGTACTTGACACTTTGAATGCTTATTATAGGCGGATTTAATTCAGGGAAATTGGGGTAGACTTATCTGAGGAGGTGAGAGTTGAGATCTGAAAGGGATAAGGAGTCCGGGAAGAGCCTTCCAAGATAGGAAACAGCCTTATTAGCAAAGGACTCATGGCCCGAGGGATATGGCTCTTTCAAGAAACTGAAAGAAAAGATCATGAAGAGTTGTATGACGTGAGGCTGAAGAAGTAGGAAGGTGCCAAACCAGGCAGAGCCTTGGAGTTTTATCATTAGGCCAAGAGCAGTAGGAAGCCATTGAAATATTTAAGCTAAGTGGTAATGTGATTGGCTTTGTATTTCCAGACCTTCAGTCTAGCTGTAATATGGAGAATGGTTTGAAAAAGGCAAAAGTGGTTATGAGTAATGGTGTAACCAAAGGAAGAAATGTTAGGAAGTGGTTGTGGAGATAGGGAGAAATGAAAGACTTAACTGATGTTTAAGAAGTAAAATGGACAGGATATGTAGGATGGGGGAAGGAAGTATCAAGAATGACTTACAGGTTTCTTACTTGCATGGCTGGATAGATGTCACCCACTGAATTGGGAAAATTTAGAAGTTTGGTTTTGTACATGAGAAGTTATGGTTGCCTCTGAGAAATTGAAGAGCTGTAAAATGAGAAGTAGGGATCTGGGGCTTAGATTTGATGGTATCTCTGGGTAGAGATAAAAAATTAGATATTCATCTATAAATGATTATTAAAATCATGTGCATAAAGAAGTGAAGAGGGCCTAGGGTGGAGTCTTGAATACTTACTGAGCAGATTAGGGGAAGATGAATCTGCAAAGAAGATCCAGGAGGAGTGTCCAGAAAGGGAGGAAAACCAAGTAAGTACTGTGATTCAGAAGCGAACAAAAATGCTTTTCCAGAAAAAGAAACTGATCAAAAGTGTTAGCTGTTGTTAAGAGGTCAAGTTCGATGGTACTGAAAAGCATCCTTTCAGGTTATCAACCTGAGGATTATTTCCCTTCTGTGAAAGGAAACCTTAACTAGAAGAGGAATATGTAAACAGATTTTTATAAAGCTACTCTGGTTATAGTGGGGGTGAGGTACCTGAACCCTGCCTATTTCACACCCATTTGGACCATAGTTGGAAACCCTCTGAGGGGAGACTCAACAGTTGAGATAAAATGATTTGCTGAAAATCATGCAGTTATTGGGTGGTAGGGTCTGTGTTAGAACTCACTTCTGATTTCTAACCTGGTTTTTTCCCATAACTACTCTCTACTTCTTTTCATGATGTGAGTTTGAAATACGGTTTAACCGACTGAAACACATGCATTTTGCTGCAGGTGGAACTTAACTGTGTAATAAGGAGACTACTTGGATGAATAAACAGGTTTATTTATTTATTTATTTTTTTCTGTAGAGGAAAAGATGCTGGAGCCACAGGAGAATGGCTTGATTGACCTACCAGATTATGAGCATGTAGAAGATGAAACTTTTCCTCCTTTTCCACCTCCAGCCTCTCCACAGAGAGAAGATGGTGAAGGAGCTGAACCTGATGAAGGTCTGTGTAGAATTCCAAAAAAGTGCCTGTGTTCAGTTATCCATCTATTAGCATAGGAATGATACATTTTATAGACGAGGCTTAAATTATTTAAGTAATATTAAATCTTGGTATATTTCACCAGAGTCAGGGAGAGGAGCACCTGTTCCTGTACCTCCAAAGAGAACAGTTAAACGGAATATACCCAAGCTGGATGCTCAGAGGTGCATTTACTATTTCCTTAAACATTTGTTCCCCCCCTTTTTTTAATGTTATTTTTTCCCCCTTATATTAAAAAACTTTTACTTGGGATGATTTGGAGATCAGTTATTTGTCTTTTTTTTTTTTTTTTATATTTATTTATTTATTTATTTATTTGAGAGAGTGGGGAGGGCAGAGGGAGGGGGAGAGAGAATCTCAAGCAGACTCCCCACTGAGCATGGAGCCCATTGTGGGACTTGATCTCACGACCCTGAAATCATGGCCTGAGCTGAAATCAAGAGTTGAATGCTCAACTGACTGAGCCAGCCAGGCGCACTTTTTTTTTTTTTTCCCAGTTCAGCAGATAATATTTTTTCTTATGGTTTTGCTTTGGCCTTGAAACATATTTCTCTTCACAGATTAATTTCAGAGAGAGGGCTTCCAGCATTAAGGCATGTGTTTGATAAGGCAAAATTCAAAGGTAAAGGTCATGAGGTAAGAAATGTCTGATTTTTATTCTTTGTTCTTTCAAATATCAGTAGAACTGTGGGCCCATTATCATGTTCTGAGGAATCTTATAATGTTTCACAGATACCATCATTTATCATCATATTTCTTGAGAAACTAAGATGTAGTGGAAAGGGCACTGCTTGAAGAATCAGAAAACATGTCTTGTAGTCTCATTTTTGCCACTGTATTGCTTTAGGAAAATCACATCTAAGTCTGTAAGCTCTGAGTTTGTACTTTATAATTTCTAGGAATAAAACTGACTTAGTCTACCTTAAAGAGTGATTTTAGGCTTCCAGAGAGCAAGGACTTTACCTGTATCAATCACTTATGTGTCCCCAAGATATGACACATATCTTGTCATGTGTCTGATTCATAATAGACATCATTTAAGTTGAAAAATGAAGACATTTAAGAATGGTTGATCACTGTCTAAATGTATATTTTAAAGGTTCTTATCTTACCTTTTTTTTTTTTTTTTTTAAGTAGGCTTCATGCCTAGCATGGAGCCCAATGTGGGGCTTGAACTCGTGACCGTGAGATCGAGACCTGGGCTGAGATTAAGAGTCAGATGCTTAATTGACTGAGCCACCCAGGCACCCCTAAAAGGCTCTTATCTTGGAATAATGTAGATTATAGGTACAATTTTTTGCAGATTATGAAGTATTTTCAAATACTTTAATTCTCAAACCTGTGGGGTAGGTGTTGGTCCCATTATCTAGTTAAGGAATTTTAAGAGTTTTTTAAAAGATTTTATTTATTTATTTGATAGCGAGCACAGGCAGGGGCGTGGCAGAGGGAGAGGGAGAAGCAGACTCCCCACTGATCAGGGAGCCCGATTCGGGGTTCCATTCCAGGACCCTGGGATCATGACCTGAGCTGAAGGCAGCCACTTAACTGACTGAGCCGCCCAGGCACTGGAATTTTAGAGTTTTAAGTGTCCAATGCCAACAGTTAAGGGGAGAGCTTAGATTCCTCTTTCATAGCCTAGCTAGAGTAATGTTAATACAGAAGTGAGCATCATCTTAGTGTGGTATGCAGGATAATGGGAAAGAGGGAAGAGGTTGAAAGCAGACAGCAATTCAGATACTGTCGCACTACCAGGGTGAAGGTGAACAAGCTAAAGATAGCCTGATAGGGTAGTAGTAGAGAGATAAACAAAATACAGTACTTGTAGGCATGGGATATGAGGAGGTAAAAAGTAAAAAATAATCCCAAGAGGGGTGCCCAGCTGGCTCAGTTGGTAGAGCATGTGACTCTTGATCTTGGGGTCGTGAATATAAGCCCCACATTGGGTATAGAGCTTATTTTAAATAGATAAATAAATAAATAACTATTGGGTGTAGAGCTTACTTTAAATAAATAAATAAATAAATAAAAACAAAAAATCCAAGATTTCAGAAGCTGGGAGGCTGAAAAATTGTAGTACCTTTGCTCAGCTTCAGCAGACAGGAAGAGAGAAGTCTGTGTCCTATTTTGCCACAAAACTAAATGTAAATCAGGATATTTTAAAAGCATACCCAATTCGGAAAAAAAAAAGAGGGACACCTACCTGGCTCAGTCAGTGGAGCATGGGACTTGATCTTGGGGTTGTGAATTCAAGCCCCAGGTTGGACGTAGATCTTACTTAAAACAAAAAACTCCAAACCGTACTCATCTCAGTTAATTCATTGCCCTTGTTGAAATTTTCAGGTTGTAATGATGAATTGGTGCTTTGAATTTAATGACGTCTTCATCATTTTCATAATAAGTACTTTATTAAAATAAATGAGTTTATATGAAGGATAAAAATTTCGTGTTTCTTCACTGGGTGAGGGTGAGCTCCGGGCGTTTATGCTTTTTAGTGTTCTGTACTTTGCCCTTGGAAATTCTTACTGTTTTGTCACAAAGTTGAATCCGCACTGCTTTTTTCTCCATGTATGACTTGGGACTTATTTAGGTGTATTTAGGTGTTTCTCTTGTGACCTTTAGGTCTAATATGACATTGTGAGGTGACTGACCAGCCCCCCCCCAACAATTGGAAAATAATTTTAGGTGATTGAATTAAAAACAGACAAACTTACCTTTATTATCAGAATGAGAAGGATAACACATACTCTCAGTATTACTTTAATATATATGCTGCCGAAGCAAGCTCTTAGTATTACATGTTTAGTTACTGGTAGGGTTGACCATTGGCTTCTTAGACAAGATCAGATAACAACAATAATGGCCAGTATTTGAGTGTATACTTTGTGTCAGGCACTTTACTTGTATTACTTATTTCTCATAACCCTACAAAGTGTGTATAATATTATTCTCATACATGAAAAAGAAGGCACAGCGGCAAAGTGATTTGCTTAAAGTCATACAACTATTAAGTAGCAGGATTGAGATTTTGATTCTATACAGTGTGATCCAGAGCCTGTGCTTTTGACTGTTCTATTTTTTTTTAAAGATTTATTTATTTGAGAGAGCGAGAAAGAGAGAGAGAGTACATGATGGGGGGAGGGTCAGAGGGAGAAGCAGACTCCCCGCTGAGCAGGGAGGGAATCGATCCAGGGACTCCAGGATCATGACCTGAGCCGAAGGCAGTCGCCCAACCACTGAGCCACCCAGGCCCCTGCGACTTTCTATTTTTTTTTTAAATTATTATTTATTTGACGGAGCACAAGCAGGGGGAGCAGCAGAGGCAGAGGGAGAGGCAGACTCCCCGCTGAGCAGGGAGCCCAATGTGGGACTCGAGCCCAATGTGGGACTCGATCCCAGGATACCCAGATCATGACCTGAGCCAAAGGCAGATGCTTAACGGACTGAGCCATCCAGGCGCCCCTTGACTATTCTCTTTTTAAAATACTGTTAAGGGGTCCCTGGGTGGCTCAGTCAGTTAAGTGTCTCCCTCTTGGTTTCTGCTTGGGTCATGATCTCAGGGTTGTGAGATCAAGAGAGCCCCACATTGGGCTCCCCACTTAGTGGGGAGTGTGTTTGGGGATTTCTCTTCCTCTGCTCTTTCCCCCCACTCGTGTGTGCAAGCTCTCTCACACACTCTCTCAAAAATAAGTAAATCTTTAAAATACTGTTACAAGAAGAATAAAATATTTTACATTAAAACCAGGAATTTGGAATTTTGTTATTCATTAGTCCAGTTTATTAAACTTTGTTTTCATTTTAATTTTTAAAAATTTTAGTGTTAAATTGAAATTTCATATATGAAGAGGAATTGTGCCCTGAGAATGTTTAAACTGTTGTGAGTCTTTGTACTTTGCCCTTGGGATTTCTGAATATATTTTCAGTTTTGAATTCTCAATGCTTTGTTCTGTATATATGATTTAGGGACCTGTCATTTTGTTTAGTTATTCCTAAAAGATAACTTGACATATTTTATTAAAGCTTATTTTCACATGTTACTTTACAGTTCTGAAAAGATACATGATTATCCATCTGCCTTCAGCTCAGTTCATGATCCCTGAGTCCTGGGATCGAGCTCTGCATCAGCCCCACATCACATCTGGCTACCCGATCAGCAGGGAGACTGCTTGTCCCTCTCCCTCTGCTGTTCCCCCTGCTTGTGCTCTCTCTTACACTCTCTCTCTCCAATAAATAAATTCTTTTAAAAAAAGATACATGATTATCTTTTAACTTTCATTAAGTTTTTATACTGGATTTTTTTTTTTTTTAATCATATCCAGTGCTCTTTTAGACTGTAATCCTCTAAGCTCAATAAATAGTTCTCTTCTTAAAGTTTCTTCAGAAGTTTCTTAACCTTATAAATATAAAATGACACCAGTGACTTTGGCATTACTATTCAATTCTAAAATCTGCTGACAAGGTCAGTTGTGAGAATGAGTCTTCTATTTAGCATTTTTATTTTTATGTGCCAGGCTGAAGACTTGAAAACGCTAATCAGACACATGGAGCATTGGGCACATAGGCTATTCCCTAAACTGCAATTTGAGGATTTTATTGACAGAGTTGAATACCTGGGAAGTAAAAAGGAAGTTCAGGTAGGTGTTGAGATTATTATGAATATCATTCATAATGCTAAATAGTGCCAAGAATGGATTTTAGTTGAGGCTAAGTCACTGTTTGGCATTTTCATTTTGAAATCTGTCATGGTAGAAGGAAAATTAGTAGTTATTTGAAGAACAACTTTTTGAAACTAAGAATTGAATAAATTCTCATTTTCCCCCAAATGTTACTGATGAAAATGTAAAAATATTCTTTATTTTCAGACCTGTTTAAAACGAATTCGACTTGACCTGCCTGTTTTACATGAAGATTTTATTAGCAATAATGGTAAGAATATAGGTTTATTTATAAGAATTTTGCTTTTAGAAATAGATCTAGTTGGGGCAGGGGTAGATTAAGCAGTGGGTTCTTCATCTATATTGAGTATTGAGTAAACATAATTACAGTAAATAGGAATGAGTTAAAATGCCTTGGTACATCTAGAATGTTGTTTGACACTTGTTTCTTAAAGACATGCCTCCAGTGCCATTAAGAGATGCTGTAAAAATATATTTAGTCAGAGAACTTGAACCTTTGAGAACTGATACCCACTGAGCCTTTGTAGTGCTTGGTTAATGAAAATAAATGACAAGATGTAGTGTTCATATACATATACACCATTAAAAGTGGCTCTGGGGAATTAGAATAATTAGATGATGAAATAGTTTACATTTCCCTTAAGAGTATAGATCCAGTACACAGATGGTCCCCAGCTTAACAACGGTTTGACTTACGGTTGTTTGACTTTATAATGGTACAGAAGTGGTAGGCATTCAGTAAAAAACATACTTAGAATTTCAAATTTTGATTTTTTTCCCCAGGCTAGCATATGTGCTGTGATACTCTCTTGTGATGCTGGGCAGGAGTGGCCACACTGCCCAGTCAGCCACATGGTCATGAGGGTAAACAACTGATAGACTGACCACCATTTTGAACCCATACAACCATTCTCTTTTCCACTTTCAGTACAGTGTTCCATAAATTACATGAGATATTCAACACTGTATTATAAATAAAATAGGCTCTGTGTTACAGGATTTTGCCTAACTAGGCTAATGTAAATGTTCTGAGCACATTTAAGATAGGTGAGGCATATTGAATCCATTTTTGACTTAAGATATTGTCAACTGATGATGGTCTTATCAGGATGTAACCCCATTTTTAGTTGAGGAAGATTTCTATAGGTCTTCAGTAAGACCCATGTGACTGTTCCTGGTATTGATTGCATTTGTTAGTTGTACAGTGCAACCATAGGCGGTCACACACATCAAAACATATGGTTCCTGCCGACAGGGTCTGTATAGTTATCAGATTCTCTGTGCGATGGCTCCATACATATTTGTTTGTTTTTGTTTTTTAAACTTTTAATAGATGTGGTAGAAAATACAGCTCCCTGTAGAATCCCCCCAAGTTATTGATAAATTGGAAAATGTGAAGAATTGTGATTTAACTAATCCAAGATTTAATATTTTGGTAAGATATGATATGTATCACTGGCATAGGATTTGGTATATGGAAAGGAATTAGTAACTACAGTAAATCCCACAGCACATACCACTGGGTTAGATAGTTTATTCCGGTAGCAGTTTTTGAGCTGCATAGTGTGTGCTTGAGTTTCAGGGATAAAGGTGAATAAGATCAGACCCCTTGCTTCATGGGCTAGCAGACTAGTGAATGAGTGAGACATAATATCACCCGATAGGTGCTGAAATTAGAGGGAGAAACGGGGCACAGCGTAGGTTGCAAAGGAGAGCATAGTTGCTTTTACCCAGGGGAGGGGAAAGAAAACCTTACAGGACAAATCACAAGTACTTTGAATGAGAAGCAGTAGAGTTCAGGCAAAGGTGATTTTTGAGAGAGGGACTCATTTGTGCAGAGGCATAAGTGAACCCGGGACTACTGATGGGATTATAGGCTTGCTGAAATACTGGATACATAGAAGAGGCCTCTATCATAGAGCCTTGTTTGTTGAATCTGTCTTTGTATCCTAAAAGAATGGTCTTCAGATCTTTTGGATAAAGGCACTACAGTGGGAAAAGTGTTTTGAGTATTTTCTTTATTTTTTATAGTACATGTACTACTGATATGATAACTAATACTTTTTTTTTTAAGATTTTATTTGTTTATTAGAGAGAGAGACAACGAGAGAGGGAACACAAGCAGGGGGAGTGGGAGAGGGAGAAGCAGGCTTCCCACGGAGCAGGGATCCTGATGCGGGGCTTGATCCCAGGACCCTGGGATCATGACCTGAGCCGAAGGCAGATGCTTAACGACTGAGCCATCCAGGCGCCCCAATACTTTTTTTTTTTTAAGATTTTATTTATTTGAGAGAGCGAGTGAGTGCTGAGTACGAGCCGGGAAAGGGGCAGAGGGAGAGAGAGAAGCAGATTCCCTGCTGAGTGCGGAGCCCAATTCGGGAGCTCTATCCCAAGACCCTGTGATCATGACCTGAGCCGAAGTCAGACACTTAACCGACTGAGCCACCCAGGCACCCAAAAGTGCACATTTTTATTCTCACAAGAACATTACCATGAGGTTTAAAGTGAGAACAATATGACTTAATATTCTATTTTATTTTCTCCAAAATTTGGGGCTGATACCTCATTGATGTTGTAGATACAGTTATTCTCCCCCCCAACCCCCCCATCTTGGTTTCACCTTACTAAGATGCATCCAAATAGAAGTAGAGTATCCTTAACCACACTTAATGTTTTCCCATCCCATCACTAATGCAAGGATTTTTGTTGAAGTCACAAGCGAATTATCATCTACCTTTTTTCAGTCAGTTGTTTTTCTTAAAAGTTAATCAGGGGTTAAATTTTAATATTTTTGACAGAGAGATAGTCCTGTAACTCCTCTGCTCAGAGCCCCGTAGTGGCTCCTTATTTCACCCAAAGCGAAAGCCGAAATCCTTATAATATAGTCGTCCTTGGCCCTACAGTATCTATTCCTTACCCCACCCCCCTCGCTTCTCTGACTGTATCTTTTACAGTTCCCCACTCAGAGTGCTTTAGCGACTGCTTGCCTCCTAGCTGTTCTTTAAGTCTTTTGCACTCTTACACTCAGCCTTGAACATATCCTTCGTCCTCCTTCCCACCCCCAAGTCTGCATGGCTGTCTTACCCCTTCAAACTGTGCTCAGATGTCAACTCCGTGAAGTTGTACTCCTACCCCCAGCCCTGATTCCCCTATCCTTTTTTCCCCATAGTACTCATTTCCCTTTAATTATTGTATATTTGCTTATTGGTTAGTTTATATGTGCCAAAATGATGGCATCCTGTAGCACGTTGAATATTTGTCTTAAGCTTCTTTGCCACAGTCGCTTGCCTGTTAATGTTGCAGTGAGTGAATTTCATGTGTGGTTCTAATTTTTTTAATCCCATTTTTATCAGTCGAAACTCTATCAGTGGTTATGTTCACATTGGTTTCCCATAAAATATTGTATTAAGGAGGCCATGTACTACGGAAGAGATGACTACTTTCATGGCTCACAAACAGTAGTTCTTTACGTATGTCATTACCATTAACTCGGAATCCTGTACACCCTGCAAGGTGAAGCATAGTAGAAACCCCAAAATTGCATAATTGGTTCTAATACTTGTTTCTTTTTTTTAAAGATTTTATTTATTTATTTGAGAGAGAGAATGAGAGAGAGAGAGCACATGAGAGGGGGGGAAGGTCAGAGGGAGAAGCAGACTCCCTGCCGAGCAGGGAGCCCGATGCGGGACTCGATCCCGGGACTCCAGGACCATGACCTGAGCCGAAGGCAGTCGCTCAACCAACTGAGCCACCCAGGCGCCCCCTAATACTTGTTTCTTAACTTCTCTAACAATTTTCTCCCTGTACCCCATCAATATTTCCTGACAAAGGAATGCATCTTAGTTTCTTGCCACATTTTTTTTTTCCATGTCAGGACAAGTGTATTGATTTTTGTCTTTCACTGTTAAGGAAGAAACATCAAAAGGGATTTGGTTGTAAAATTAAATATCATAGGATTTTTAACCTCACTGGAATAATTATAAAGGACCTGTTTTAAACGTTTGCTAGTTGTGATGGTTTTTACTATATTAGCTAATACCTCAAGGCACAGTATATACATAGGACAAGGTTAGTGTGTGAAAATTTGTATTTCAAATGGTGGTCTTGGTGATTTTTTTTTTTTTTTTTTTGCCTACTTGTCAGATCAGATGACATTTTTTTTTAACCCTGTAATGTGAATGATGTAGGAAGAAGGTGAGGTTTCAGCTTTGCTGTTTTCTTAATTCTTGTTTCTCTATTTTCTACCTTCTCTTCTATATATTATTTTACAAAAATCTTTTTAAGCTACCACTTGTGCATTTTGTTGAGGTTGTTTTGGTGTTAAAACTAGACAGTCTGCTTGGGCGCCTGGGTGGCTCAGTTGGTTAAGCGACTGCCTTCGGCTCTGGTCATGATCCTGGAGTCCCGGGATCGAGTCCCACATCGGGCTCTCTGCTTGGCAGGGAGTCTGCTTCTCCCTCTGACCCTCTTCCCTCTCGTGCTATCTCTCATTCTCTCTCTCAAATAAATAAATAAAATCTTTAAAAAAAATAAAACTAGACAGTCTGCTTAACTGGGTGATCAGAATCAGCTGTATGTCACAGTATGCTGAAATTTAAAAAATGAGTGAGGGCCCAGCTCTCCCGCCCTTCTGCAGTGTGGAGCTGTTTGCCTTTAAGGTAGCACCCAGGCCACACAATAACTGTCATATGGATAAATGATAGTTTGTCACTGCCTGTCTTTATTTTAAGTTAGTTCAATAATTTTAAGTTAGTTCAATAATTTTTCTAAATTCTTAAATATAAATGGAAGATACAATATATACCACTGTGGATCATTTTGAGGGCATCCTACTTTGAGATAACTGGTGTATAGGGCTTTAAGAATTTATTAGGACTAATGTAGAGAGCACAATTTTTTAAATTAATGTGGAAATATGTCCACAGATCTCTAAATTTTTTTTTCTTTGATTTTATTTTTTATTAAATATATATTTTAAAGATTTTATTTGTGAGAATGAGAGAGAGAGAGAGAGAGCACGAGAGGGAAGAGGGTCAGAGGGAGAAGCAGACTCCCTGCTGAGCAGGGAGCCCAGTGTGGGACTCGATCCCAGGACTCCAGGATCATGACCTGAGCTGAAGGCAGTCGCTTAACCAACTGAGCCACCTAGGTGCCCTGAAAGATTTTATTTTTGAGTAATCTCTACACGCATTGTGGGTCTTAAACTCACAACCCCAAGATCAAGAGTTGCGTGCTCTGACTGAGCAAGCCAGGCACCCCTCCTTTTTCATTTTGTGTCTGAGTTTTACCCTATTAAAAAATAGCTTATATAAAATTATTACTGTGTTATATAGACACTATAGCAAGCTATTAAAATGTTTTTGTTTAAAGCAAGAATATGGTTTGGACTCTTTTAAGTTCATTAGCCCAAGCAGAAAATATTTTCTAATAATAACTAAGAACTTGTGCTTTCTGTTCATGCATATTTTTAAACTAGTATTTCCATTTGACCTAAAATGTCTCTTTAAAATGATTTATAAGGGCGACTGGGTGGCTCAGTCGGTTAAGTGTCTGCCTTCAGCTCAGGTCATGATCCCGGGGTCCTGGGATCGAGTCCCGCATCGGGCTCCCTGCCAAGCAGGGAGTCTGCTTCTCCCTCTCACCCTACCCCCTCTTGTGTTCGCTCTGTCTCAAATAAATAAAATAAAATCTTAAAAAAAAAAGTGATCACTCCTCTTAAAATGATTTATAAATATTCCTTTTACTTGTTTGAATCAAGCACGTACAGGTGTCCCTCGAACACCACAGGTTTGAATTGAGCAGGTCCAGGTACAGATTTCTTAAGGGTCAGTACTGTAAAATGTATTTTTTCTTCCTTATGTTTTTCTTTAATAACATTTTCTTTTCTCTAGCTGACTTTAAAAGGATAGTATAAAATACACATAATATAGGTAATATGTGTTAATTGACTATGTTATTCGTATTCTGGTCAACAGTAAGCTATTAGTAGTTAAGCTTTGGGGGAGGCAGAAGTTCTATGTGGATTTTTGACTGTGCTCGGGGTCGGCATCCCTAACTCCTCTGTTGTTCAAGGATCATCGGTATTTGGAACATTCTCACGCCCCAGAGCAATTTGAGGAAACAAATAGTTTCTTCAGGTCTGGCACCTTGTTACTTTAAACTGGTTTTTAACTAAGAGATGCATTAAGCTTTTTCTAACTAAAGATGTACTAACTTTTATCTCTACTGCAGATGAAGGAGAAAATCATGGCCATGATGTAACTGCTACCCAATCAGATCCCTTTTTGACAAACTCATTGGAAAGTGAGAATTTTGCTTCTGAGTCAGGTAGAAGCCTAACAGAAGAACAACAACAGAGAATTGAGAGAAATAAACAACTGGCCTTGGAAAGAAGGCAGGCCAAGCTGAATAACAGTCAGTCCCTCGGAAATGGTAAATTTTATGCTGGATTTTATGTGCTACCATTAATACATTAGGGCATGTTAGAAATTTTAACTTCTCTACTATCTGCAAAATAAAATGCCTCTAGGAATAGAAAAATCTGATATATTAAGTTTATGTGTATCTGAGAAAGAGCACGTGTGTGTGTGAGCATGAGCTATTTGGAATCCTCAAAGAATAAATGAATCCAAGATGGTTCTCTGGATAGCGGAGTACCTCTTAAAAATGTTTTTTTAATCACTTCAACTTGATTCTGAATCTTTCAAAAATACATTCTTCCCTGACTCCTTAAAGTATGTGACATGTATTTTATCTTTATTTTTTTTAAAGATTTTAAAAATTTATTTATTTGAGAGAGAGCGAGCGAGCACGAGGGGGGGAGGGGCAGAAGGAGAAGCAGGCTCCTCGCTCAGCAAGGAGCCCGACTTGGGGCTCAATCCCAGGACCCTGGGATCATGACTTAAGCCAAAGGCAGATGCTTAACCAACTGAGCCTCATATTTTATCTTTAGCATAATTTTGAACATTGATTATTATGGTACTTTCCTAAACATATAGAATGCCTTGTGCACCCTTTGAGGATTTTAGAGCCATTTGCTGTGACATTTAAATAGTTCCTTACTTTTTATTGCATTGTGTCACTTAGCTGTCAGTTTGCTTATCTGATGCATTCTCTTCTCTTTTTTAAAACTGTCTTAAGGGCTGCCTGGGTGGTTCCGTCGTTAAGCGTCTGCCTTCGGCTCAGGTCATGATCCCAGGGTGCCAGCACCTGGGATCGAGTCCCATGTCAGGCTCCCTGCTCAGCGGGGAGTCTGCTTCTCCCTCTGTCTGCTGCTCCCCCTGCTTGTGTGCATGCTCTCTCTCTCTCTGGCAAATAAATAAAAATCTTTTAAAAAATAAAACGGTCTTAGGCCTAGCTTAGGTTGGAGTATGGTAAGTTTTGAGGCAGTCCAGATGGGGACGCTACCAAAACGAAAAGATATTCCACCGTGGGTGAAAGCTCCCGAAGACTTGAAAGATCCCGAGGTGTTGCAGGTCCAGACGCAGCTCTTGGAAGCTATGTTTGGCCCAGCTGGATCTCGAATCCCGTACATCGAGCAAGTGAGCAAAGTCATGCTCGAGCTAAAGGTTCTGGAATCCTCGGACCTCACCGAGATCGTGGTTTATGGCTCTTACTTGTATAAGCTCAGGGCCAGGTGGATGCTCCAGTCCATGGCCGAATGGCACCGCCAGCGACAGGAACGAGGGATGCTCAAACTTGAGGATGCCATGAAAGCCCTAGAGCTAGGTCCTTGGATGAAGTGAAGCCAGTTTGCAACCAACGTACCTGGAATCAGGATTTAAAGAGTAAACTGTCTCCAGAGCTGGAATGGATGTGGTCTGGTTGAAATTCTCCTCCAGCCTGACAAGGAAAAACCAGCTGATTTTTGGGTCTCCACCTTTGTCTCTGAGTTCTAATGTGGCTCCCCCTCCCAGGTTTGCTAATTAAAATAAAATTTTAAATAAAAAAATAAATAAATAAATAAAACGGTCTTAAAATTTGCTATTTTTAAAACAGATTGGGTTTGCTAATGCAAACTGGTTTTGAATGAAGCAGATTGCATGTCTTTCTCAATTTCCAATGTAGTTTTCCTTTTGAAATGGGAAAATAAGAATTATGGTTAAGTAGTGAAGATACCATGTTATAAAACAAGTTTCACCCAAGATAATGGAATTTGCAAGTGAAAATTAGTGTAACTACATTGTTGTTCTTTCCAATTAAAATCAGCTTAATCTTCAACTTTACAAATGGATATTTTATTACTACCAGGTGAAAAATTACATGAAGCTCCAGCTATCATTGATGGCACTTCCTTTGCTGTCATTATCAAAGTGTACTTGGCAATAAGCATTTTAAGGCTCATCTTCTATTTATAACATATGACTTAAAATTTGCCTAAATAGAAATAAGGATCCTAAATTTTCTTTGCTAGAGATCACTTTGATGTATAGCTGTTAAGAGCATTTTTTTTTGAGCATTTGATTTTTAAACACTTTTATCTAATAGCTGTGATATTGAATGAGAACAGTTGCATTTGGCTATGATTCAAGAGTTTGAGTTCAGTACCTTTGAAGACTTGCATTTTTGAGTGGACTTGATACGTGTATAAAAATGACTATTTGGAAGAAAGTGATCATAAATTTTATTTCCACGATATAAGCTTGTGGAGAGATTTATATTTATCAGGTCAGATTGGATCAGGTGCTTATAAGGAGTAATAATGATGATTTCTCTTTCAGACTTGTTAATAAATACACCCAGGGCACAGACCATTGAAGAGGTTAATACAGGTGAGGATCAAGAGGAGGAGTCATTAGATGGATTTAACAAAGACATTCTAGACCATCCACATAATAATGCTGCTGCCAATGCTGTAAATGAGGAGGAGCAATTAAAAATAGAGAACACACAACTGGACCAATCCTTTTAAAAATGTACAGTAGTAACTTTATGCTTTATCCAGAAATGTTACTGAGGTTGGATAGGCATCAACTAAGAAAATCCATTAACCTGCTGTCCTCTAAGTTTTAGATTAGTATGTATTTTGTCTGCTTGGAGTGAAAATCCTTATGTAGTAAGACTTTCACAGATTCCGGTTTAAAATATGGTATTATTTATACTTGTTTCTTATTAACTTTAGTTGAGCCTGTTTATTCTCTTTAGTGTTTATTTTTATATAGATATAACTTTATAAAAATGATTAGTAGTTACAAGCACCTTCTGCTGCTAGTGTGCTACTGAATGTCTTGTTTTCACTAAATTGGGGGTTTTGAGATGTAAATATGTAATGATTATTAATGTCTTTTTTTAAAAGAAATAAAAATCATAAACTATCTCGAGGCTTTATGAAAGTTTCTTACTGCTATTTAGTTCTGCAATATACACTTTTGGTAAAATGTTTAAGGTTTCTGTATGTGTTTACGTGTATTTTGAGGAGTCATTTCATTTTTTTAGTATTTTTTTTTAAGATTTTTTTTTTTTTTTTTTGACACAGAGATAGTACAAGTAGGCAGAGCGGCAGGCAGAGGGAGAGAGAGAGAAGCAGGCTTCCCGCTGAGCAGGGAGCCCGACGTGAGGCTCGATCCCAGGACCCTGAGATCATGACCTGAGCCGAAGGCAGATGCTTAACAACTGAGCCACTCAGGCGCCCCATTTGAGGAGTCATTTTAAAAGGGTCACCTGAAAGGCTGCTGTCTTGCCTGGCCTGCGTTGGTGCTAGGGGAGTTCACATGCTCCTTGATACTTTACTGACTAGTGGGAGAAACTTGCAAAGCATCATGAGGAACACAGAGCACCTAGGGATGATCCAGATAGGGCACCTTTGCATTTGTGGAGGACAACCCAAGGGTTGGGAAGGACATGTCTAATAATGATACAGAAATGGAAATCTAGGAAGTAAGAAAGACTTGGGAATGGCAAATATGAGGCTAGAAGTGTTAGGGCCAGATGGCGATAAGATCTGATTGGAGTTTTTCCTGCCTGAGTTATCAGCTTGGTGGAGAAGTAAATTACAGAAAAAGTGCCATGTTGACAACCGAGTTTAAAGGTCTATGGGCAACAGGGAAAGGCAAAGCAAGTTTTTACAAACTAGGAGATGGGAAGTTTGCTTTTTTTTTCTAAATTTTTTTAAGATTTTATTTTTTTAAGTAATCTCTACACACAACATGGGGCTCGAACTTAGAACCCTGAGATCAAGAGTCGCATGCTCCACCAGCTGAGCCAGCCAGGTGCCACGGGAAGGTTGCTTTTTGTGAGAGAGACTGGCACAGTGATGGTGTTAAAGTGGCTTTGGTTTCTGTGAGGCTGGGACAGGCAGGCATCTTAACGCCATCAGGCTTGCTGACTTCTGTTGGGGATGGAGAGTGACAAGGATGGTTTGGCTGAAAGGAAGTTGAGCACAAGAACATACGGGTTGCGGGGAGGGGGCCTCTGTGGCTGGCTGGGGACTGGCCTCGCGGTGGACTAAAAAGTTACTCTTCCAGGGTGGGATACACTGGCAAAGTAACAAGTCTTCAACAGGGGCAAGGCCAATGCAGCTCCATCCAAGGAGTACTCAGCAAAATGAGAGCGTGGAAAGGGAAGTTTGTGATAACACCTTACTTACCTGTGCACTCCACCCCACTCCCTGTGCCTTGTCCCCAACTGGTGTGGGGACAGCAGGGGAGGTTTGAGTCACATGAAATAGGAGTCTTAAAGTGGGCAGGTGGACAGAACTAAGTCTTACCTGAAGGCAACTGAAAAGTTAATCTGACAGCTGTCAGAGGGGCCTAGGACCCAAATGGCCCAGAGGAACAGTTACTAGAAAAATTAAAACTTATTTTGAAAGAACGGATTTGAGACAAGCTAATCAAAAATCAATTCTGGATTTATTAAAAAGAGACTGGCAATCTGACCTGCAGAGTCACCATTCATGATCTCTCCATTTCTGAAAAATCAGTTTCCACAGGGATCTAACTTCTCTTTAATGCAGCTTTAATTAATGATGAGAAAACATTTTGTGCATTGGTGAGCTATCTACCGCATCCCAGTCGATTAGAACGTTAGGTGACACAGAATATTAGATGTTAAGATTAGGAGGAAAGTTGAAAGCATTCACAAAACAGCTCTTTTAATGAAGTAAAAAGAGTATTTCACATTCCATAACTGTTGGAAACATCCAGGAGAGCGAGATCCCTTATCTCCTCTAGGAGTGTGTATAGGCTTCTTCCCTTTGTTTGGCAGTATTTTTGATAATCTTCCTGAATGACGTTTACTTTGACTTCTTGGGCAAGCTGAGCTTCCTCCACAGATCTAGTTACTTCTTTCACTAAATCACTCTTTAACAAGAGGGAGCTCTGATGAAAAAGTTCTGTATCTGGTATCATGTACGGTTTGTTGCTTATTATTTCAAGCCTGATTGTATCAGAATGGCAACGGGAGGCCTGTACAGATATTCTCACCTATCACAGAGAAGAAAATGCATATTACCAAATCACATTCTTTATACTTGACGTTGAAAGCAATGCTTAATGTAAATATGGACTTACTGTTACATGGTCAAACAGATGGAACGTGACAGACTCCCCGCCTGTTGTGGTAGAGGTGATTTTGTTTTGAAATCGTTGAAGGGATCCCGGTTTCCATTCCGAACGGCTGTCTGGGCCACATGAGATCACCAAACCATCTTTATTTCTTAAATAAGCAGCACCTTTAATCCCAAACCTGAATCATTGCCAGAATAAAAATCGAGATAATGTATTCTTAGTATACAAATCTTGTACACTCAATCTAGAATGCTAGTTTTTATTCTAGATCAAAAACAACTTTTCCTCTCATTTACCTCCAAATACTTCACTGAGCAGATGGAAAAATATTTTGCTAAATAAGGAAGTAAAATCCTTATTTTACTTATAATTATATTTTATTTTATATTTTATATTTTATTTTATATTTTATATTTTATATTTACTTATATTTTAACACTAATACAGATGTACTGGATGCTAATCTCCTTTTATACTTTTTTTTAAGTAGGAGCCCAACATGGGGCTTGAACTCAACGACCCTAAGATCACAACCTGAGCTGAGATCAAGAGTCAGATGCACCCCTCCTTTTATACTTATATCCTGCATTATTCTATTACATTATGTACATCTGTACCTACAAATAGTTGTTATATTTTAACAAGTTATATCCAATGTACTGTTTGTGTTCTACACTTAGTTTACTATGATTTTTTTTTTTAAGATCTTATTTTTTGAGAGACAGCACAAGCACAGCGCAGGGAGGGGCAAAGGGAGAGGGACAGACTCTGCTGAGCAGGGAGCCCGATGCCGAACTCGATCCCAGGACCCTGAGATCATGACCTGACCGAAGGCAGACGCTTAACTGACTGAGCCACCCAGGCGCCCCTAGTGTAACTATGATTTGTTAACAGCTATTACGTTAGATGTAACATACCTTGGTATAAATACAAGCACACCATTTGTTCTAATTGAATATATAACTCCGTCAGATATGCAACGCTCCTCATTGTCTGGGTCTTTGTCTTTAAAATACATGCACTGGAAGAGCTCAGTGGATTGCTTCTGAGAATGCTGTGCTGCCTGCAAGAAGAAGCACAACCCGACGCACGCTAAAGCATGCTGACATTCCCGGGGGAGACACACAATTCATACTCCCACAGACACGGTGTCTTTAAAAAATGGCTGGACTCTAGAAAAGTATTAATACAAATATTCTTCTCTATTATGAATTAAATTAGTTTTGTGGGAACCTAACCATCCAGCAATCTTTCCCTCAAAAATGTCTTTTTTGGAAAATTAATTTTTTAAGAAAAAAACCTGTTTGTTATTTAGAATCTGTTACCATTCATTCAGGTAGAGGAAAGTATCCATATCTATGCCTTGCCTTTATTTTCAAGTCTGTCCTACCATAATCCTGCTGGTGCAAGTATAAATTAGTATTGCTACCCTGGAGGGCAAGTTGGTAATTTATCAAAGTTTTATTTGTGCACACCTTCTGAGTCAGCAATTCATTATCGCCAGGAATATATCCAGGCAACAATCTTTGAAGTCTGTAAAAGTGTACATACAAGGATGGGTATAAACTGGGTTGCCTAGAACAACAGCACTGCCCAACAGAACTTTCTGCAATGATGGAAATGTTCTATACATCTGTGTTGCCCCAAAGGTAGCCACTAGCCACACATGTCTAGGAGCATGTGAAATGTGGCTAGCGCAACCAAGGAAGTGAATTTTTAAGAATTTATTTTTATTATTATTATTTTTTTAAAGATTCCATCTATCTATTTGACAGAGAGAGCGAGAGAGCACAAGCAGGGGGAACAGTTGAGAGAGAGAGAGAAGCAGCCTCCCTGCCAAGCAGGGAGCCCGATGCGGGGCTCGATCCCAGGACCCTGGGACCATGACCTGAGCCGCAGGCAGACGCTTAACCATCAGAGCCACCCAGGTGCCCCTAATTTTTAAGAATTTAAATAGCCCATATGGCTAGTGACTATAATACTGCAGAGCAGTGAACTATAATACAGGATACAAAAAATTATATTAAACATTTAGGTAGTTTCCAATTTTTCTGTATCACCAAGTGCTCTCTTCTATGCTGTACAATACTGTAGCCACTAGCCAACAATATGAAATACAATACAAAGCAGCTTCTAAAAGAAAGATGTAATTACTCTGAAGTGATGCTGTCAGTGACAGATGTGTCAAGTGCAAAAGATTTCAGAGGAGCAGGTATGGTACCATTATTCGTTATAAATAAAAATGGGCTATCTTGGGGTGGTAAGATGATACGTGGTCTTTTACAGGTCTACTTTTTGGGAAAACCATCTAACCTACTGTTAAATCTCCTAAACCCACATTAAGTGACTTCATAACATCTATAAATGTATTGAGAGCAACACAAGAAACTTTACAATTTTTCATGTTATTTCATTGGGGAGAATAATGCAGAATTTAATTGGCCAGAGTATATGGCACTTTGTTCCACCACATAATAAAGCTGATATTCTCTTAGCAAAAGAGATGATGGCTAAGAGAATTTAAAATCCCCTCTTACTCGGTTTCTGTTGTTGATATGTCTGCATAATTCCTCAAGATCTTTGTTGCTGAACAAATTGTCCTTAATTTCCGTTTTCTTATCTTTTGAAATGGCTGCCATTAACAGTCGGTGTACTACTATATCTGAGTATCTTCTTATCGGAGATGTAAAGTGAGTATATTTATCTAATGCAAGGCCTTCAGAAAGAAACCAAAAGATGGAAATCAACAAACAAATATAGTTTTTAAACGACCTGCTCAAGGTTATGGCCACACAAAAGGAAATGCTATCAT